ACCTCCATAAAGGATCGTTCATCGATCATTGCTGCGTGCGCATAGTTCACCGATCTTATCACCATCATACGTTAACCATACTGCTCGAGTTGTTTGTTGCAATATTTTGTTCGCATCTATGTGTCAGTTTGATTAGGGTGCCTTGAGTATTACCCAACGATATCGGATAAACACTTTCAAGAAGTACATTGCTCGGCAAAATTGATCCTACAATAGGTTGCTGACTGGCCGCAACCAACAGAACAGCTTCACATGCCGCTGAACACCTAAAGACAATTCAAACAGGTGATTATGTTTCGGATCTATCAACTATATCCATAAAAAAGTTCAAATGAACAAAAATACCACACGAACAATACAAAGAGAGAAAATCTTTTCGAGAACTGATGAATAAATGCGAGAAACCTTGACAATATATTGATGACACTTTTCAAAATCTCCAACGAATCTTCCTCATTACCATAGTTTTGTCCAAACGGTAAATCACATACAATGCGATCGATGCATTCAAGACGAAGATAATCTGACAGATCAAACATCAAAAAATTAAACGTCAAAAAAATGGATCTCTGTAGGCTTATAACAGCTGAAAAAGCCAGCTTACCACACTTTACGTCTGCCGCTAACAGTTCGATAGTATAATTCTTTGCATCATATGACCGCAAATGACCTCTGTTTTCTGCTGACATACGTAATGATTCTTCACGAATATCACATCCCAACAAGAAACACTAAAATAATGCTTTCATTGGATCAACATTTTATAGTTAATAATAAGACAGAATGTAAATAATACCCAACTCAAGTTACTCAATTCATGATTTCAAATCGGAGCATTCGAATACCTTTCCAGCAAGATCGTGTGCTGCTTGCACGAGAATTGACGACGAACCACACGTGAAATCGACAACAAACATGCCCGGTTGGATGTTCGCCAATGATAGCATCGCATCACAAACTGTAGATCGGAGTGCATTCCTCAGCAAGTACGGTCTTGACGATAATGGAACTCTGAGAATCGGTGAACAATAATCCACAACAATTATTGCAAACAAGGCACTTAACACCAATCAGATAAGAAACCATTCCTCCTCGACTTCCACTTCACACAGCAACGACTTAATCAATTACAGCTTTTGTTCTTTCTATGCCTACATTTAAAACATCAAATAATAATAATAACTCAAAGGAACCTTGTAAGTGGAACACCGATAAAAATATGACCATCTGAAATATGAACGCAAACTTCGAATTGAATGCTACCACGCAGCAAACTTTTCCATTCGCAATGGTATCGTTTCAACTGACGAGCCAGACTTGCTGAAAGTTTCTGAAATGATTTCTGCAATTGTTGCAGTAAATTCAAATTCAGACCACTCCATTTGCGACTT